AAGGTCAGACTGAAATTTCTTTCTTGCATATCATCACTTATAATAAAGGCTTTACAGATAGAGTTATAGAGCCTATAGTTCTTTTGTATAACATTAGTAGAGTAGTATCAGTGGTTTTATAGAGGGTTGAGTGTGCTTAGGAAGCATTGAGCAATCCTGTTAAGGACAAACGAAAAAGAGAATTTAGTTTGCTGTTCTTTGTGTTTCCTCTGCAAGCTAACAATTAAGTAGTATGCTCCAGGAAAAAAAAATGTAACTTTAAATACATAGGAGGAACAGACTAAATGAAAACAGAGGAGTAAGTTTACATAGTCACTCCTAACAGGATACTACCAGTATCAACTCTGTATCCCATAAAATTGTCACATGAATTGTTATTTTTATCACAAACAAACAATATGCAAACGTAAACTGTTCTACATATCTTCCAAAACTAAGTAATCCTTGCTTTCAAATGTGAATGTTGAAATGGGCAGAAGCTTCATAGGCGTACTGGGAGAGGGGCAAAAAGCGCATTGAAGGTTTTTATTAAACTGTGTAGCAATATTTTTAAGGTAATTAAAGTTACTCAGACAAACGCAAGCAGCACATTTTCATTAATCCACAATACTTTTTTTTGTTTGTTTATGTTCTTAGATTACCAGCAATGCAACCAGTGATCTAAACATAAAGGTTGATGGCCGTGCTATTGTCCGTGGAAACGAAGGTGTTTTCATCACAGGCAAGACCATTGAGTTTCGAATGGGGGGTAACATGGAACTTAAAGCAGTAAGTATTTCAAATCAACATTTTTTGAACAGCTTAGTTTCAAATTCAGGCTGATTATTAATAAACAGATGTAGCTTTACGTAGATTCAAATTTTATATAAAATATAACAGTCCACTTTGCAGTGTGTTTAGTAAGGTTTTTAAAAGGTGGATTATTTCTTTGCTGTTAATTAGTGGTTCAGTAGTTTTCAGGTAACAGTGATGTACTACTATTAAGACACTAAAAAAACACAATGCAATTAGAGCTAAGCTATTGGCCTCTGCACTGAAACGAACACCAAAGGGAATTAATCTTTTTTCCTGGAGGTTTTACTGGGGACAGCAACCTCTGACAGAGGAGCAGAGCGTACAGTTCAGAGCGCTACCTTCTGTGCTGCTGCAGCAAGACTCACCAGCATTCATTTCAGGCTTTTGGACATTGTTAAGATTGCAGAGCATAAAGAATGATGCAAAAGGCTAAAGGAGGATGAAAAATAGAGATACATGCACTTTTATTTCATGTATGAATTCAAACACTGATTACCGTTTCACGTACATATTTTTAGATTTGCTGCATTTACTAACAGGTGTGTCAAGTGAAAAGCCACACTACTGCTCTCTTGCTCAATATTGCTTTACCACTGGAATAGCAAAGTACGTTGCTGGCTATAATTGAGAAATTCATGAGCATTACTCACAAATTTAGTTAAAAAATGAAACCTTGTCATACGTACTTTTTTTATTTTGTTGGTTTCTACAGCCATGGGAAAGATGTCATTGATTCCTTAAACCAGCTTGTCCTTTTCAAAAACAGCCTGCTTTCTTTAAATTAGAAATTGTACTTTTTTTTTCTCCCTCTTAATAGGAAAACAGTATTATCCTGAATGGAACTGTGATGGTCAGCCCATCACGACTGCCAAGTTCTTCTTACGGGGAACAGTTTAATAACGGCAACTGGCTGCGTTTCAAGCTGTGTATGTGTGCGGATGGGACACTGTTCAAGGTTCAGGTGACAGGTTATAACATGGGTTGTCAGACTTCTGTCAATCCTTGTGGAGCCACGCACTAAAACACAAACCACTACCTGGAGAGTTCTCTTGTGTGTTTACATATATTTGTATGAAGTAATTGCATGCCTTCAAGGATTTCTGTTTTTACAGCAGTTTATACTAACATTTATTACATAGTATTTTTAAGCAAAAGCTGTTACGTTCAGCAGTATTATGTCATCATCTTGTTAGCTGTAATAGTGGCACTGATTTAGTAAGCTTTCATTCTACACACATACTGAAGTACCTTCCTGAATTGGGATCAGTGGAATAGATTTAAAGAACGTGATCTTAGCAACAGTCTTGACTGCCTTCAGTTGCCTTTAAAGGAGATTTTTGTCCTACATCCGAAGACCTTGAGGACTGCTGAAAACACGAACTGCCATCCAACGTACTTCAACTGGAATGTTGATTATTTGTTGGAAGTGGATTTGCCTAGGACAGCAGAAGCAGCAGATTTTTCTCTTCTCTTCATTTCCTGCCAAAGGTTGATATAATGATTTCCCCAAAAATTATGTGGTTTACCATATGTGTGCTAAGAGAGTGGTAATGGTAGATGCACTTTAAAATACTGCATTATTTCTGCCATATATTTTCATGCAGTTAAAGAAAAAATTACGCTAGCACAAATAATTTTTTGAAATTAATATCAAGTGTGGAAATGCAACTTCAATTTTTAAATAGTCTGGTGATTATGGAAGTGTTGCCGGACCTCCCATTCTATCTGTGCAGTTTAGGGATTCTACAGTTGCTTAATTTATATGAAGTATTTATAAAATATGTTTATATTAGAGGTACATTTTTGAAGATGTACTTGTAACTGCGCACTACCCAAAAAAAAAGTATTTTCCTGGGTGCTTTAGTGTGAACAGTGTATGAATTCATTATTCAACAGGTAATAATCTGAAGCATGATTGTAAGCAGCAGTGTCTGAGATCAGATCTCTTTTTTCCCCATGAGTATCAGTAGTGATGCATTACTGAGAACCTAATAATTACATTCTGAAGTTAAACTGCAGGTCTGTAATTCAAAACGTGGTGGAACTGAATCCTCTGACAGCAGAGTAAATACATGTGTATATGAATTTGTCAACAGTGAAACCATGTCCACAGTGAACTGAGACCTTACAGAAAGTATTGTAGCCTTATAAGTGCTTTTGCAGAGGTAAGGTGTGCTGTACAAAAAAATAGACCAGCTCATTAGAAGTTTCCCACTCCTCCCTCCCTGTGTATTTTCTTCAGTTTAAAATAGTTTTGTTTTGCAGTAGTGTGACGTAAGCTTAATAATGGAGGCCACAGAGGTGACTTTCCAGGTAGGTTTTTTGACAAGTTTTTCTAGATAAGCACACACTTTGCTTATTAAAAGTTGTGCAAATGTTATACATTAACTTCAGAATTGGTCATTTGTTACAGGAAGATAAACGATCTACCCTTGTTTTATAGCTCTCCCAGTACATAAAATTCCACAAAATACAAATTAGCTCCTGCTGCAACAAGAGGTTCATATCTAAGGTCCCAACTGCTGTATGTACTAGAATTCAGTCAGTCCTCGTGCAGGATGTGTATGGGTGGAAGTGATTTCTAGAGGGAGACCCTTAGGTCAGGCGTTACGCCACGCGGGTGGGTCAGAGGGGTCACGTTTCCCTAATTGCTCTAAGGCAAAGCCCGGTTTTGATGCTCAGTAGTTGTTGGGGTTCAGAGAAGAGGGTAGACAGCAGTGGAGCTGTTGTAATAAAAATGGAGTAAATAGGAAAAAATGTAGCAAAAGCCATTGAATTGCTCACATTAAAGATGATGGGAAAATGCTAACGTTTTGCACACTGCCTTCATGAACTTCATACTTTTACTACAGTTAGTTTTGCTTAACCACTTCAACACACGTTTTGCTGAAAACATGCACACATTTTTGCTGCTAAGTAGTGCCCCAGTTAGTATCTGTTACAGTTAAGAGGAGGAAATAAACTATAACATTTTTACAGTTTTCACTCATGCTGATGGAAGTTTGTCACTTTACTCTTATAAATACACACAGAGGTATAAAAACAAGCAGCAGCATCCTTGAAGCCAAAATAGATGACAGGTACTGCCTCAGTCAAGTAGATGACACACGAAGAGCATATTAAAGCTTTTTTGTTAATACTGACATGCCTATATACTAGTATTGCATTCTCATAATCATCAAGATTATTAAAATACTTATGCAACATAAATGAAAGATTTGTCACAAAGGTGCTCTTCAGTCATGGTCCAGAGAATCTGTTCTGAAGTGTGGATTTTTTGTCAAAGCATAGCAAAACTGATCATTCAAATACCAAGTTAAATAAATTATCAATTTGTTAGACACTATTTATGTATTGTTAATGTATTTTATTGTCTTCACTACACAGTTTGAGAAATGTTGGCATGGCGCATGCCCTCTGTTGCCTATTTATTTGTTGTTTATCTTCTGATTGCCTAAGGTACATTTTTCTATACGTATTTAAAACATTGTGTGGCACATTATTTATTTCAATTCCACAGACGCACTTAAGATTCTGTGTGTTTAAAGTACATTCTACATGCCTCTGTGTAAAATACCATACTGGGTCATTGAAACAACTTGCATGTGAAGAATTCTCAGCCTCTGCAAAGGTGGTGGTTGTTTCAATAGGTGAAAGACAATTGAATTTCTCATCTTTGTTTTGAAATGAAATAATAAATTCTAAGATGCAGCTGTGGTTTGTAAGGGTTATTTGTAAGGATATAGTTTTTCATTAAAAATACATCATTGTGTTATTGACAAGGAAACTAGTATTTTATTAGGAGTATGTATGAGTCAGTATGAAAATCATCTGACATCTATTCGTCATGGATTGTATCTGGTGGACTTTGCTGAGTGGCGACTGTGTATGATACCTGAAGTAGAGTTCAAATGTCTCCGCTGCTGTTAGTTCACGAGTTCCTGAGAAGCTGCGTTTCTTGGCCGAAGGGCTGGAAAAGAAAGAAAAGGTTCGGATTGTTTTTTGGGACAGGTGGAGGGAGGGGGAAGGGTACCAGTTTATGAATGTTCTTTTTGAAAAATACCTAAAACTGGATGCAGAACATTGGTAATGCTTTGGGTATTTGTTTAGTGTTGATTTTTTTTTAATGTCAAAGTATTTCCGCTTTCCATTTAACTCTTGTTATGCTGAACTTACCGTAATGTTACATTTTACATATAGATACTATGGATAACCTTCACTTGAGTGTCATAGCTGTGGTCCTTTCCTTTCATCTTCCTGGATCAGTGGGAACCAGGTCACAGCAGATTCTTCTTGATACACATCACCAGTCAGGCTGCCGGTGGGATGGGGAGTTCTCTGTGAACTGCTCTTTTACCGGAATATCTACTCTTCCAGAAGATATATCACAAACCGCAATAACGGCTGATTTTAGTTACAATAATATTAAAACGTTTCTGTGTGCTGATGGAAGAGCTGAAGAGTGGATGCTAAAACACATGAATCTCAGTAACAACCTGATTTCTGAACTTTCCTTAACTACTTGGAGAAATTTACCTGATTTAGAAACTCTCAACCTCGCCGGTAATGCCATCCACACGCTCACACTGGACATCCCTACGCCTGCACGTGGGTCTAAAAAGTACGGAAAAGTTGGTCGTCTCCTGCCTGCTTTGAAAGTACTGTCAATTGAAAGAAATAATCTTAATGCAGTTCCAAGAGGTAAGCATTTCAAAATCTTTAAGGATAAGAGTAAGTCGGGTTTGGGTACGATTTGGTGCATCTTACTGACTTCAGAATGCAACCGTCTCATTTAGTTACACCTAAGGTGAGGGAAAGTTCCACCTGTGGGCAAATGCAGAGACTGAAGCAAATGGGTTGTTTTGGATTAGGTTGGGGTTTTTTATAGTGCCTTTGCAATCATAATGCCTTAATGTCAGTCAAATTTTTCCTCCGAGAGCCCAAGCAGTATTTTATCCCATATAGCAAGGCAAGTAAGGATCTCTGGAAAAACAGCAGCCTCCGCAACGCAGTCATGAACCTTAACATCAAGAAAATTACAGATACGGAATTTCTTACTACTCTCCAGAAGAAAGTCAATACTCTCTTACATAAAACTTGCTCCAATTTCAGTATTTCCCAAAGACAGGAAAATACATTTTGTTCAGTCAATTTTGCTCTGTGCATCTAACACGCAACCAAAGTGACACCTTCTAGTAACAAGAGTGAGCCGTAAGGTTTCGATAGACTTTTGGAAAGTGTTTGCTAGTCGCTGAACTAAGCTCGGCACCATAGCCTTGATGACAGCCTCCATCCTCATAAACAGATGGTTGACGCTGTCCAAAGAGTGTTTAATCGAAGCAAAAGCTACAGCACGAGCAAGACTATCCTATATATTGTTTGCTGAATTTAATTGATCTCTGATAACATCATCAGACTCATTAGCTCTAGGTGTTGAAAATACTGGAGGCAGGGAACAAAAAAACCCACTTATCTCACAAAGTCAGACAAAGGGAGTAATTTTGCACCTACACAGGGTCCTCAAAGCTCTATTTTCCTCCTTTTTTGATACTAAATTCTCTGGCATGCAGGAAACCATTTCACTTAAATACTCTGTGGTATCTGTAAGGTTCCCATATAAACAGTATAGAAAAGCTTACATTATGAAATTGATGCAGATGTTATTTGTTTTGATAAATAAATATAACTACACATTCTAGGATGCCTCAGTGGGTCAGACAGATCAACCCTTTTCTGTAAGAGCCTAAATTTTTGCATGTAAAATTGCTCTGCATCGTACCACCACACTTCAAGTTATACTTAAATCCCATATTAATTTAAATACATGTTCCAAACTTTATTTTCCCTCCTCCAAAATATTTCACTAACATTCTGGTTTTTATGCTCTGGTAAGAAAACACAAACTGAAGTTCTAAAGCAGAGGGGTTCGGCCACAGAGAAACCCTCCTCGCAACCAAGAGTCAGGCTGCTGCCCACTGCTCCCACACCTGTCTATATTTTCAGGACAAATTTAGCTTCAGGGAAGCACCCAAACTACAATTCCTCATGCAGGTGCAAGGAAGAATTTGTGACCGGCCAGCATTTCTGAATGCCTTTCCTGTCAGCTACCTCTAGTTTTACAGCAGGTATGAATCGTTCCCTCTGCTTTTCGCGATAAACCCGAAGAGCAATTACTCAGCAAACAGAACAGCAAAGTGAAATATGAGATTTCCAGTAAACCAGATGACACCAAGGGCAAGATTTTTAAGAACTAGTAGCTTCTCAGCAAGCCTGTGTGATCAAAAAATCACTCTAAAGTGACGTTAGGTGTCACAAACTGGGGTGATGCTGAGCGTTCAGGTGCCTGCCTTCCCACTGGAGCCTGCAGGCTGGAGCTCTGGGGGCTGCCTGCGCAGCACCTGAGAAAAACAAGGTATCTATCTCCAGAATTCAAAAGGGCGACTTATGCGAGACGGATGCTGTCGTAACCAGGGTGTGCTGAAGAATATACTGTCATGCTTGATAATTCACAGGCAGACAGGCATAAGCAACACATGTTCTTGTTTTCAGTCACGTTTGTGTCCTACGAATGTGGTTCAAATAATTCCACATATTAAAAACTCCCGTGAACTTGCAGAAGGCAACAAATAGGAGATACTGTATCACCTTTTGCATCTCCATCTTTTATTTACAATTAACATATCTCGATCATACAAACGGAGTATATTCCAGCCTTTTCACACTCCTCTTTTCCTACCTCCAGTTCTCCGGAGAAGCGTGCTCAAAGTACAGAGATCACAGTCGGAGTAATTTTGATAGCACAAAGGAATGTTACTGCTTTTATGGAGATGTGGATTTTTAAAACAGAATCACAGAATCACTAGGTTGGAAAGGACCTTCAAGATCATCAAGTCCAACCATTAATCCAGCGCGACCATGTCCCCTAAACCATGTCCTGAAGCGCCACATCCACACGTTTCTTGAACACTTCCAGAGATGGCGACTCCACCACCTCCCTGGGCAGCCTGTTCCAATGCTTGACCACTCTCTCGGTGAAGAAATTTTTCCTAATATCCAATCTAAACCTCCCCTGGCGCAACTTGAGGCCATTTCCTCTTGTCCTATCACTAGTTACTTGGGAGAAGAGACCAACACCCACCTCACCACCTTTCAGGTAGTTATAGAGAGCGGTAAGGTCTCCCCTCAGCCTCCTCTTCTCCAGACTAAACAACCCCAGTTCCCTCAGCCGCTCCTCATAAGACTTGTGCTCCAGACCCCTCACCAGCTTCGTTGCCCTTCTCTGGACACGCATTGATTGCAAATGTGTTAAGGTGCCTGCTGTTGATGCTACACAGCTTTTAGAATGGGACAACCCCTGAACAGGAAAGGGATGGTAACTCAAAGCCTGCAGCCACGCGTTGCAATAGACAGGATTGGAAGGAATTTCATTGCAAAGAATTTGAAAAAGCCACTTGACGCAACTGGGAAAACAAGAACATGAAATGTAAAATAGTTTTGTTCTTCCTAGGACTAGGCCTGCTGCAATCTTTACAAACCATCCATTTGTCATCCAATGGCATACAACAGATTGATCTGAATGATTTTCAAAACTGTTCGCAGCTGAAAGACATCCACTTGCAAAACAACAAGATAACTAAAATTCATCCAGATGCCTTCAGAGATCTCAACAAATTACAGGTTGTAAAGCAATATTACAACTGTATCAATGTTTTGTGTTAATCACCATTAAAGATATTAATTATCAACTATTCTGCATGTTTATATTGGTCTTTGATTGTTATATTAGTATACAATTATAAAAACTAAAGCAAATGGTGAAAATAATCATTATTTTCATATTATACATTTGCATTTCATATATAGGAAAACAAACATGCTTGTAAATGTACAAAATATAACCATAAATTCAACATTTATCTATGCCACAAACCAATCCACAACTGGCTTAAACACACACACTTCCTTTTCTACCTCCATCCCTTCCAGTGACAGCCCTGTGGCTTCCCATTCACACAGAGGTAGTCTACAATGGGAAAATTCTAAATATACCAAAATTTAAACTTTTCATCTAAATTAAAAAGCTTAGAACAATGTTCTTGAAATCCTAATCAGATGTATTATTCCCATAACTGGAAAAGTGCTTGCATACTAAAATAAATGTTACGGTTGATATTGCAATTAGGATTCCATTGTAAGGTTTATCAAATATATTCTGAATTATTTCCAAATAGGCTGTGGATCTCCGTGAAAATGCTCTGACAACCCCTCTACCACAGATATTAATCAGTTTGAACTTCTTTCAACTTGAAGTGGATTCGTCAAATGATGCCTGGATATTTAACTGCAGCCAAAATGCATTCAAACATTTATTTCATTTTCTGTTTGACTCCACAAGGAAAAAATGGAGCATTTCATACAATAAAACTGCCAACAACTCACAGAAACCTCTGCTGTATCTTTCAAGTTTCCATTTAAACTGCAGCAACAGTGTTTTGCTCAAATGGGCTGTAATCCCAACGGGGAAGACATCGGTGCTAAACTGTGACTTGGACAACACAAGGGGTATGTAAAACAGGGACTCTGTCCACACACTGCTAAAATCCAAATGCATGCAGAATGATCAAAGAAGTCTGGTTTAAAAAATGGATTTCTAAAGACACTGCTTAAAAATAACTGAATAATAATTTAACATGCAAATTATTTCATTAGAAAATAGTATACTGGTTAGAATACTTGAAAGTCATGTTTCCCAAAATAAGTCATCTCCTTCCTTACATTAAACTAGTGATGCCAAATTACACACAAATACATTTCAATAATCATAATTGTAAGTAGTACGTTGCAAACTTATCAGTTAACTTTGGAAAGTAAACAAAGGACTGAATAGTGGGTTGGCACTTCTGGGGCGTGTAGAAAACTGAGAAGGATACAATAGTGTTTCTAGTATTCAGTTACAGCAAAATGAAATGGAAGTTTATCTGCAAGGAAAAAGACTCATATTTTTTTCTAAAAAAGTACAGCTACTGTAGCAGACAGTTCACTTAGGAAATTAATTCAACATTTAAAATTAATACAGAGCACTTGAAACACAAGTGACAATCTGCAGAGCTAAGACTTCTCATGCAGAAGGAAAACTAAGACCAAGCTTAGAGCAGAAGGTGCATTTGCCATGTGCTGTACAGCAAATTGGTTTCACTCTAATGGACTGATAGCGCTTTGAGGTGGTAAGGCTTTCCCCTTGGAACACTTTATCCCCAAATGAAAATACACAGGGTCAATCAGAAATGCCACGTGCTTTTTCTATTAATAAGGAAAGTCATGGAAACTCTGATCAGGGGATTAAAATCAGCACACTGGATTGCACCAAAACTCAAGAGGGAACACAAGCAGATCCAGAGGCTGAGGTGCATATACAACCTTGAAACGTATTCCAAAAGCCAACAACCAGCCATGGCCTACACTAGCTGAAGTCTGAAACAATTGCTGAGTACATACAAATATCCTTGGTTTTCAAACCTTTTTGCTGCAGCCAAAGCAGTAACTACAGGAAAATCACAGCAGTTGAAACATTGACAGTTAACTAGCGAAGTTACAGCTCGTAGCTGCACACAGTGACCACGGCCACGCTGGAGGACAGCTGGTTATAAATATGGACCTTCCACAAGGGAGATCAGCAGGTGTTTCTAGTATGACCCAGAACATACTTCGATAATTTCAGTGACCTCCTGTCTCACGCACACCATTTTTCTTGTAAAGTCTGCTATAAATACCCCATACGTACTGTGTTTTAAATGTGGGGGGGAATATATGGTGGTTTAACAGGTACTTGGTGCCATGTAAAATGACTACTGATGGATAAAAGGAAAACTGATTTTATAATAAATAGTTAAAATTCAGATAGGTCAGAGTATGTTCTTATAGAAATAACTTGACCCTGCAAACCAAATATCTTACACTTTTAAGAAAGATTTAGTTTGTATTTTCTTTTATTTCAGGTAATGGAGTCTCTTGGTGGACACCTAAAGGTAGAATTTCAAAAGGTAACAGTCTTCCTCATATGACACTGGATAAAATGAATAATTTAGTATTACACAATGCCGAGAAAACTGCTGAGGGGGTATATTTGTGTATTTTTAATACAACAAAGAAGAAATATCTCATCTACAATATACAGGTGAAAGAAAGGGTTTCAACATTTTTGGTTAGAAAAGCCCGGGACACTAAAACTGTTTTTAGACAAGGAAGAACAGAGCAAGACCTTGCGTTGGCTGTCTGCCTCTCTCTGCTCATTACGTACGTTTGCGCTTTTTGTCTGGGTGCTTTTGCTAGACCCTACCTTGTGAGCCTGTGGAGACTCATGCACAGGAACAAAAATTCAGGTTCAGAACATACTTATTCTAATCAAGCTTTTTCAGATGAAACCTTGAGCAGAGAGTGCTCTGCAAGCAAACCAACAAATACGCAGCATAATTTGTTCATTTGTGATGAGAATTCGTCAAGAAACACAGGCATTTTTCCTACAGAAACTTCTACTTTGCGTGAAAATGTCATTGGTAGCAGTGTACATGCACCAAACATGGAACAAGAGTACCAGAAACAAAGCAATGATGGGATCAATGTGAAGAAAAAACCAGTGTTTTCCGACATCAAAACTAGTATCAGCAATGATGAAAATATAAATGTTGATAATAATGGACTATTTTCTGTAGGGATAGATTACAAGAACAGCAATGAAGTAACGCCACGAAAATTAATGTGTAACGACATTTCGTTATGGAAAGATTCAAAATATGCAAATAATGAAGATTCAGAAAAGAGCAGATTCCCTCCCACGCCCAGGAGACTGATGCTGACTCTTACTCCAATCACACTGACTTTTCAGATCTTGATTTATCCTTCACAGGAGAAACTGGCTTCCCATTTTCCACAACACAAACACATAGAGTTGCACAAGATTCTAGGAACAGCAAGGTAAGCAACAACTCTGGTCTGCTGCAGTCCAAAATCACAAAGGCTACATCAGAGTCTCTTGAAAGAAAAAGTATCATTTCACATAATGAACCCATAAGCACAGCAAAATTTATGCCTGGAAGGCAAAGCTGTGATGAACAACTTGGTCTAAAATACAACATAAATATAACTAGTGATGTGGGAGATTTTACTTTATCCAGTAGCTGCAAGAGAGATACAAATACTGAGAATGGAAGTGTCTACCAAACAATAGAAGACTCCCCTCTTACAGAGCACAGCTGTAAAATGGAACCTACTAATGAAAAAGATGCTTCAGCAGATATATTTGGCGATAGTTCTTCAGATGAAGGGACTCCATTCACAGTGAGTGACTGTAGCTCTTTAGCAGACTTCGAACTGGAACAACCTCATGTTTGTGACAATGTGCCAGTCTGTCAGTCATCACTAGAGGAGGCCAATATGAACAGTAGAACTGAGAAGTTCTCAAGACTGCCAGAGTCTCCAACCATTGCTCCTGAACTTCAGCATATTGGGGAAAATGAAGATGAGAACAATGCATATTTTGACACCACTATTAATTATGAATCAGATACCATCATGCCTGAAACAGCATCACCTTACGCTGATAAATGTAGTGACCACATAAGCATGTCAGATTCAGACACAATTAGTTCAAGTCAAAATGTTCCTGATAGGTTTGGTTCTTTTACTGATGCAGAGTTAACAGTACAAAACTGTATTTCCAATTCTCGCCACAATCAACATACAGATTTTGGTAATACATTACTTTCATTAAAACATTCTCCCACGTACGACAGGGAGAACAGTCCTGAAGAGGCTGAACTGCAGCTGCATCAGTTTCCCATTAAGCCACAGCATTCCCTCAGCTTCAGTCCCGCTGAACAAAAAGAAAATGCACCAGAGGGAAGTACAGACGAGCACACAGATAGGAACTCCTCTGAAAAGAATCATGGTGAAGGTGACATTACATTAAGAAGAAACACAAGTACATCAGAGAACAATGACTTTATTTTTGCTCCCGTTGATACTGTTTTGAATGAAATTGTAAAAAAAAACATTGCTACTGCATTCCAGCAATGAATCATCTCTTCAGTCTCTGCCTCAACACACAGTTATTACAGAGAAAGACTTGCTACCACAGGGGAAGCAGGTTAACACAACTAAGGCTTGTGCAGATAAAATGCAAAGAGGCTTTAATGAGGAAAACAGTGATGGATACACAGAATTACACGATACCAGCAACAGCAGTCTGCCCGAAGAAACGCAGTCTTGCAACCTTACAGCAGATTTGCTGCACCTTCACTCTTCTGGGAAAACACAATCAGTTTTCAACACAGAAGATCATTTCCAACTGGATCAGAGTGATAACGATGCAGATTCATTCTGAGTCCCACAAGGCTTCTTCAGTGAAAACACATGATACAGTTCATGTTCATTCCCACAAAAGACTACAGGAAATGCAGTCTCCAAAAGCACTGATTCCAGCATGACGGAGGATGACGCTACTTTGACAGGACTGGAGAACAATTCTGCAACAGCTGCCAACCTCCAAAATTCAAATGAGCAACTCAGTCAAAAAAGTCACACCAATTTAGGACAGCACCAGTTTTTTGTTAAGAAAAGAGCATTTGATGGATTTGCTAGTATTTTGCAAAGCAGGAGAACAAACTTCAATAGTTGAGACACAAAAGTGTAATACTAAGCTCCTACAGTGTTTATGTCATAGTAGGTGAAAAAATGATTGTGTCTTAAAATGAAGTGTGTAGCTTTTAATAACTGTTAAATATCACGGGTTGGTTTTGGTCGTCATCCTCCCCACCCCCCAGCACAACTACCTATCTGTCTTTAACTTCATAAATCCAAGTTATGGAACTAGACTTAATGAGATGTATAAAGCCTGGATCCATCCAATTTAAAAACACCGTAACTCCAAAGGGTAATCTAGGCTAGAAAGCATGAATTTTTTGTTTAGAATGCTACTTGTACAAAAACAAGAATAGATTTTATGAAAAACAACTCTAGGATACTCAGATGAGTAAACTACTCAGTAGTTATAACTGATAATAAAGCTTTTGCTGAGTTAAAATAATAATATATACTCACTTTCTCATTATTGTTGGTACTAAAGATATTAGTTTCCCTTAGAATTTGCCTCTGATATGCAGTTTTGTTTCTCTTTGTGTAAAATAAATATAACACTGAAATTATCATTACATTATTACTGTGTATTCCCGTGGGACTCAGCCTGTACAGGGAAATAGTACATATTATTGTCTTCTGCTTTTTAACCCAAATTCGTGTATTAAGTGTCTCTGAATTCCCAGTTTTTTTACAAAGACAGGTGAAGTCCAAGCAGTATTCAATTACATTTTAAAAATTGCTTTTTAACTTGGCAAGACATAGACAGTAATGAAACCTTTCTTTCTCAAAGAAATGGAATAGAATTCAAACCTTGCAGAAAAGTCAGTTATGGCGATTTAGCTACTGGTGGGACATCACCTGTAGTTTGCAGATGTGATGACATGGGCAGGGTAATTTAAAAAAAAAAGACAACCTACTATTACTGTAATTCACTATAAAAAAGGATCCTATACCCACTTCAGATTACTGAGGGGGGCAAATCAAGAGCAGTTCAAAACTGCTGTATTACAATATCAATAGCTTGACATATATTAACTTTTTCTAAGCCAAAAGATAACAAATATAAGATAAAATTTTCTCTGAATACGGTCCAAGGCCCTTTTAACATACACAGTGTTACTGATTTAGTCCTTGAAGGGAATGTCATCACAAAGGGGAACAGACCCAGATTCCCAGAAAATGCAGGAGGCTGGCCAGCAACTCTGGGAAAACTCTGTTATGAAGACACAATTAATTCACTAAAAACTCCAGAACAGAAGGAACACATTTCAATTCCATCAGATGAGGAGCAAGTCCAATGGCACAGTACATCTTTGAAATTATCTTTAAAGAGAAAGCTAGGAAAGAACAAAGAGATGCTGACAGAAGCTAATAATTTTTGTTTGCTTCAAGTACTTGGAACTGGGGGAGGGGGGGGGAGGGGGAAGAGACGAGTATTGCATAAAACTTAAGAGGCAAGTAAAAGCAACTGGAGGAGACCAGTACTGGTATTATTTCATCTTTTGAAAATATTTTCTTTAGCACCTTGAGTTCCTTTGAAATAATTGTTTTTACACATCTAGCATCACAATCATCAGTTATGTATTTACTCAGCAAAGTCACCTATGCTTTGATCTCCTATTGGTTTGCTTTGGGCTTTGTGTTTTTTTTTTTTTCGGGCTGATTTTCTCAAAATCCCTAGCATAACTCAGAAGAGATTATATGGCAGTTTCAGGTAGGTGTTGCATGGATTTGATTTAGGTCACCACAGTATATGCAAATAACTGCACTCAGTAACAACTGTAATTCAATTACAAGCAATGAAACTGGTGTCGTTCACACAGATCATCTTGCTTTCCAATTAGTTCTTGGCAGATTTTTTTGCTCCAGTACTCAACAATATCTAAAGTGATAACTAAGAAGTTTTTTTTAAGAGCAGGTACTGGCTTCATTCCTTCAATAGGAGTCCACTCAGGAACCAAGGACAAAATCATCTTCTGAAGAAATTGATAATTTGTCATCAAATTATTCATGAGTTTAAGGGTCTGATTTTGGTTTCTGTTTTTCAAACACAGGAAAAGTTTTACATGCTTAACTTTCCAGAATTGTTCGTGCAGTCCGAGTAGACAAGAACTAAATGACAACACACTCAAATCTGCAAAAATCACAGCATTCCCAAAAATGCTTACAATAACTCAAAAATAAAGTATGTTTCCCAATGCAACTCATTCCTTGATTATACAAATGTCTAAGTGTTATACCCTGTTCTACTGCAATTTTTCTCTCCTAATCCCCACATAGTCTCAATACTCATAATGCCTTGGCTTCTATTGAATTTAAGGCTGCTGTTCTTAGAACAGTGTGTGACAAAAACCAACCGTGTTTTTAGAGGCTGTCTAGAAGTAAAGAACTGGGTAATTTGTGCATGATTCCTCATAGGAAGAGCTACATAGCCACTAGGAGTGGAAAACAGAACAGTATTTCCTTACCACCAGCCCTCTTCTTAGCACCTATAACCAACTTTCAAGCAAAGTTCATTACACACAGGAGTTACTTGTGGCCAAGGCAACTTTAAACATGGAATACATAAAAAAGTGCAGGCTTGCCCTTTATGGTATGTATGAGTCTTCAAACACTGTGTTGACAGACCTCTCCAAGCTCTGACAGCTTTTGGCTGTAGCAGCTGCTAACAAGTTAAGAAATCTAACTACATAAGCAAGCCAATTCCATGGATCATGGGGGGGCGAAAAAAAAAGTGAGCGGCTCCATTGATGTCTCATACACAGCAGTGTTTTGTCATTCGCTTCTGCTACAGTTCAACGAAATATATATTGGAAAATTATTTTCTGATCATGGGAATGCTGCCATGGTGATGTGGACAGAAAACTCTCAGCTTCTCACAAGTAGTGTACTATGCCTCCCTTTATGCCATAAAGTTACAGAAAAAGGTTATCTGCTGTTCTCATCGGAGAAAATAAATCTGCTCCTTCATCAAGGGAGTTTTAACATGTGGCAGAGTATTTCATTCTACTGTCAGATCATTTTTGATGTTCTGTCTCAAACTTACCTTCAGATTTCTGCCTAACATTGCACCTTTCCTTTGCTACTGATCACTCCAGACACTCTTATTATCACTTTTTCATTCAAACCCAAGCGCCCAGCTGCTTCTCCTTCATATTAGTTCTCCACTTCATTAGCGATTGCTCTTACAGTTAATACAAAACCTTTTATATCTTCTGTAGTTTCCAAGCAGTAGTCTTCATACTTTGCTCCTCTCCACCCACCCTATTTCTCCATGCCCTTCTGTATACCATAGCTACACAGTCCTCGACTCACTGACTGCCTCTGAGAATTTATCCACTCTTTAAATTTCAGCTGATATCAATCCACTTTATCTTATTCATACTAAAAAACTTTACAAGTTTAGCTAGTTTGGTCACTGAGAATTTTCTAGAATGCCTATACTAGTACCAAACCAGATGCATTTATAGGGGTGTAAGTGTACCTTATACAGACACCGCCTTTTTTCCCCACCCCTGCTTAGAAGCTGCAGTTGCAGAGAGGCATAACTGCGACTGCTCTAGGGATGTTGAAACTTCTTCGGCTTCATCAGTAAGTTCAGGTAGCAAAACTCATGTTCAGGTAAGACTTATGTTACTATCACAGTTGACAGTGGGTAAACAGACCAAGTCATAGACTAGGCTCAATAAAAAAGGTGGCTGAGCATATGCTGTAGGAAGTCATGGATGAAGCCTGAGGAGGCAGCCAAGAGAACGTTGGTAACAGCCTGGGCACACCCTTCTCACAGGGCAATGGCATGCTGAGCTCAGGGACTGACAGAACATAGTACCCCTCGTACACTGAATCAGTATAAGAAAAAATACTCAAGCCTTAAGATTGAGAACTTCAGATACAGTAATCAGAATGAAACAAAGCTCTCATTTTCAAACACATATTTATGACACTTTGATAATTATCAAATTGCTTGCTGTAGGTACAAAGCATTTGAATCATTCCAGAGTACACTGATAACTGGGCTGGAAAATAACCCTTGACTATAAAGAAAAGACATTCACATTTACCCTACATATAATTAACATCAGAAACTATTTGGATAGTACTATTAAAGTTTTCATGGTGCAGAAGACACTGACTCACCCCCTCTAGTAAATACAAGCAGCAGGCTACATTCTGAGAACTGGTGAAGGCAATCCCAGCCTTCATCATCAACAGGAACATAATGAAGAACTGCTTCTCTAGAATAGGCTCTACCTTACAATATTCTAATTGTAATGTAAATTACAGTCAACTTCAAATAACATTTTAAGTCAAGAGCCTTAGGACTGGTAGTTCAAATACTGCAAAATATTTTTAAAAAATTCTTGTGAAATCTCTTACATGTGTTCTTTATTCTCTCTGCCAGCTTCTAAGTCTGTTTCCTATTCAAACGCAGATTTGTA